GACCCACTTCTCCTTCGGCGACGAGGACACCCGTCGTCACCCTCTGGGCAGCTCTGTCAGGTGGGTGGCCTGGGGCCAGTCCCCTCCTTTGCAACCCGGGGGCACTGGGTGGGGGGCTGAGTCTATCTTGGGGGGGTTCCTTAAGTGGCTTCCAGGATCTAGCTGCGGCCCCACCCCCTTTCCTGAATGAAAGGTCTGGGTGCTACTGAGGGCTTCCTGAAGGTGGCAGTCCAGAAAGCGGGTGCTGGGTCCTGCTCCGTTCCTGCTGAGCCAAGGTGGGGTCCCTCCACCCTCCGTGTGTCCCTAAACCTGGGCTTCTGGCATTCACCTTGGCAGCAAATGCGGGTGTCCAGCGTCACCTGGGCTCCCCTCCCAGGCCATTGGCTTGAAGCCAGGTCCCTAAGGCCTGGCCTGGCTCAGTGTCTCCAGCCGTCCCTCTCCTCACCCTTGCTGGGGCTGCCAGACTGAAAACCAAGCTGGGGTGGGGGTGGGGAGGGAAGGTTATGAGACGCCTGGAGGGTGTTTAGAATCTGTAGGACAGAGCAGGGGCCTTTCGTGGCCCTTCATTTCACAGGGTTTTCTAGAATTGTCCTTGTGCCCTGCACCAACCCCGTCAGATATCTGGGCACACGTGGTCTCTAACACGCACACCAGCCACACACAGGGCAAACGGGGCCACCCGGTGTTTACCATGGTAGGTGTGGGTCTCCTGGCACATAGGGATGCCAAGAAAACCCTGCAGTTGACTCATGGCCACACACAGGTGACACACAGACCACAGCAACCCTTCCTACAGTCTCTCCACACTGTGCTCCCCGCAGGAGGACGCTGTCATGGAAACACACAGCCAGGCTCCTACCACGTTTCTGTGAGCTAGACTCCCACCCTGACCGAGACCCACCTTTCCCCAGTGTGTTTCTCAGGACTCGGCCCTAAACAACTGCGGGAGGAGGGCAGGGGAAGGCAGGGGGAGAAGCCCCCAGGGCCAGCCCGTGATCACCTCTGGGCTGCCAATGTTGTACCCATCAGGGGCAGGGACAGTCACAGCATCTGGGGGCCCAGTCTCATGGGGTCATGCAGAAAGAGAAACACACAGACACACCCATGAACTCCCAGACCCCATGCACACACACAGACATGCAGTGCCACGTAGACACCCACGTGCACACAGGTTGCCTCGGGCCCACAGACCTTGTACCACCCCAGACTCTTAGATCCTGACCTCCCTTGCGCACTCAGCCCCACACACAGCCGGGTCACCTGGCACCACTTGCCTGCCTGGGAGACACACACCAGCACCCGCCCTCAACCTCCATGTGACCTTCACAAAGCAAATGCCAGGCCTTTTCATAAAGGCTCCCTGGCACCTCATTTGCACGAGTCAGGTGGAGAGGGACGGAGCCAGAGGGACACCAGGCTGGCCTGCCCTATCTCCCCTGGGGTGGGGGGGTAAGTGGTGACAGATACTTGGTGTGGCTCAGCAGCCTGGGTTCAAACCTATATTTGCTGCCACCAGTAACCCACTTCATCCTTTCTGCGTCTCAGTTTCTGGAAAATGGGGCATGAATTGTGTGTTTTCCGACACAGCATAGTCCTTAGCAAGTGGCATTGTCTACGTTGGTTGTTGGTTGTTTTTTTTGTTGTTGTTGTTGTTGTTTTGAGACAAGTTGTCACTATTTTGCCCAGGCTGGTCTTGAGCTCCTGGACTCAAGCATTCCTCCCGCCTCAGCCTCCCAAAGTGCTGGGATTACAGGTGTGAACCACCATGCCTGACTGTGTTCCACGAAGTCTGTTCCTTTTCCCTGCCCTGCCCCCCAACTTGTTTGTTTCCTGAGTGCCCAGGGCCTACCTAGCCTCCAGAGGCCCAGTTTGATGCTAGGGAGCCCAAATGGGCAAGTCTGGGGGCCCCACAGAGGTGGAAGTAGGTAACAACTTCACTTTGAAAGTATTACTTAGGCCGGGCTCCTCAGCTCAGCCTGTCATCCCAGCACTTTGGGAGGCCAAGGCGAGTGGATTGCCTGAGCCTGTGGGTTTGAGACCAACCTGGGCAACTTGGCGAGACCTCGTCTCTACAATAAATAAAACATTAGTTGGGCATGGTAGCACGCACCTGTAGTTCCAGCTACTTGGAAGGCTGAGGAGGAAGGATCGCCAGAGCCCAGCAGGTCAACACTGGGGTGGCCTTGAGTACACCACTGTACTCCAGCCCGGGCGACGGAGTGAAACTCCAACTCAAAAAAAAATAGCCAGGTGTGGTGGCACATGCACATGGTTCCAGCTACTTGGAAGGCTGAGGTAGGAGGATCACCTGAGTCTAGCTGGTTGAGGCTGCAGTGCCCATGAGCAGGTCACTGTATTCCAACCTGGGCGACAGAGTGAGACTGTGACTCAAAAAAAAAAAAAGTGTCACCCAGTGGTCGGTCTGCCCGATGGGGAGTCTTGGGCAGGTCACTTTACCTCCAGTGGAGGGGCTGGGCGCGTGGCTGTGACGTGGCTTTGGGTCCCCTGGGGGATGTCGCCAGAGCAGTCTCTAGCCTGACTTTGGTCCAGCTTGAGTGGTCAGTGCAGGCCAGGGAGGGCTGACTTTCTGTGGCCCAGGGTCTGATTCTGGGGGTTAGCGGAACCTCCTCCGCCAGCCTCTAGGCAGCAGTTCTCCAGCCCCATTTTCCTCTCCGCCCACCCCGCCCTTCCCCCAGCTCCCCCTCAACCCAGGAACCTCCACTTCTAAGCACAAACAGCAGGGCCTCTGGGAGCATCCTCCTCCCATCCAGGCCCCTGGGCCCCTGCTGACGCCCGTTGAGTCCCCTGGGGTGGTGTATGTGCTGGCAAAGCCGGCTAGGCGTCCCTTTGGGCAGAGTCTCCCCTTCCCAAAGAACAGCTTAGATTCCTGGGCCAGCGAAGGGTCCCTGCACCGGTCTATTTCTTCCCCCTCCCCCAGAACTGAAGAACCTACGCGGGCCTTGGGAGACAGGACAGAAGGCCCTGAGGCCACCTTCAGCCCCTCCCTGCTTCCATCTCCTCGTTGCTTGGGGATGTTAACAGGACCCGCTTCAGAGCTGGTTGGAGACGTTCGGCTAATGTGCGTAAAGCACTTTGACAGTGCCAGGCACACAGCAGGAGCTCCATCAATGTCGTTATTATTACCAGATACTTAAAAGGTTCTACCCTGGCACCTGGTACACAGCAGGTGCTCCATAAATGGACATACCATCTAAGGCCCACGCTGATGACTTGAGAGTGTTTTTTAACTTATTTTTATTTTATTTATTTTTGAGTCAGAGTCTTACTCTGTCACCCAGGCTGGAGTGCAGTGGCACGCTCACAGCCACCACAGCCTCGACCTGCTGAAATCAGGCGAGCCTTCCGCCTTAGCCTTCTGAGTAGCTGGAACCACAGGTGCACACCACCACCACGCCCAGCTAATTTTTTTCATTTCTTGTAGAGATGAGGTCGTGCCATGTTGCTCAGGTTCGTCTCGAATCCCTGAGATCAGGCATTCTTCTCGCCTCCACCTCCCAAAGTGTTGGGATTACAGGTGTGAGCCACTGTGCCCGGTTCTGCATAGAATTTTATTGGAATGGTCTCTCTGCTAAGAAATACGTTTGACAGCCAAGTGCAGGTGGCTCATGCCTTTAATCCCAGCACTTTGGGAGGCTGAAGCAGGAGGATTGCTTTAGCCCACAAGTTTGAGACCAGCCTGGGCAACCTAGTGAGACCCCCCCACTCCAAAAAGAAATAAGTTTGAAGCTGGGCATGGAGGCATACACCTGTAATCCCAGCACTTTGGGAAGCTGAGGCAGGAGGATCACTTGAGGCCAGAAGTTTGAGGTTACCGCAAGCTATGGTCATGCCACTGCACTCAAGCCTGGGCAACAGAGCAAGATCCTGGCTCTAATAAAAAGAAATACATTTGAAATCTCCTATCTAGACCAAGGCAGCAACACTAGCATCCATATACCGAGTCTTTTTTTCTGGGCCAGTCCCGGGGAAGGGGGCAGATTTTATTGACCTCATTTTACAGATGAAGAAACTGAGGCTCAGACTGGGGAACGATTACCTCCGGGTCACACAGCAGGTCATGACAGGGTCGGAACTCAAACCCAGATCTTGTGCCTCCTCCAACCAGAATTTTAACTTCTGCCCTCTGCCTGCCTGACCCCCCATGAGAACACATTCCCCATGAGACCCAGTGTTCCCAGGAGCCAGGCAGCCAACATAAAAACAAAGCAGGGTCAGGGACCTGAGCTGCCAGATACTGCAATTTCTAGAGAGAGACTAGAAATTTCGAATAGTCAAAAATTTGAACTGCTTTTAAAAACAAACTTCAAGCCGGGCTTGGTGGCTCAATCTGTAATCCCGTACCTTTGGGAGGCTGAGGTGAGTGAATTACCTGAGCCCACGGGTTCATGACCCGCCTGGGCAGCGAGACCTCATCTCTACAATAAATAAAAAAATCAGCCGGGCATGGTAGTGCATGCCTGTAATTCCAGCTACTCAGAAGGCCGAGGCGGAAGGATCGCCGGAACCCAGCAGGTCAAGGCTGCGGTGGCCGGGAGCGGCCACTGCACTCCAGTCTGGGCGACCGAGTGAGACTCCAACTCAAAAAAATAAAAATAAAAAATAAAAACAAACTTCAGAACAACATTTAAAAGATCACCGTGAAGCCAGATAGGTGGCTCATTCCTGTAATCCCAGCACTTGGGAGGCCGAGGCAAGAGGATTGCCTAAGTCCAGGAGTTCGAGACCAGCCTGGGCAACTTGGCGAGACCTTGTCTCTACAACGAACCAAAAAATTAGGTGGGCATGATGGCGCGCACCTGTGGTTCCAGCTACTTGGATGGCTGAAGCTGAAGGATCGCCTGAACCCAGCAGGTTGAGGCTGTGGTGGCCATGAGTGTGCCACTGCACTCCAGCCTGGGCGACAGAGACTCCAACTCAAAAATAACATTGCCGTGAAACCTCTGGTTTGCGAGGTTTTACACCTGTAATCCCAGCACTTTGGGAGGCCGAAATGGGAGGGTTGCTTGAAGCCAGGAGTTCGAGACCAGCCTAGGCAACATAACAAGACCCCTGTCTCTGCAAAAAAAAAAAAGTAACTGAATGTGGTGACACACACCTGTAGTCCCAGCTACTCGGGGGGCTGAGAAAGGAAGATTACTTGTATCCAGGAGTTTGTGGCTGTAGTGAGCCAGGATCATACCACTGTACTCTAGCCCGAGTAACAGAGTGAGACCCCCATCTCAACAAAAAAAAAAAAGGGAAGGGAAGCAGGAAATAGGATGGGGTTGAAGTTTTAGATGGGTTTGTCATGGGAGGCATCTCTGAGGAGGTGACATTTGAGTTGAGACCTTAAGGAGGTGAAGGAGGAACCACTGACAAACTGGGTAGGCAAATAGCCTGTGCAAAGGCCCTGAGGCAGGTCCTTGTGTCTGGGGTGTTTAGGGAACCACAAGGAGGCCATTGTGACTGGATCAGAGTGAATTGGACGGGGAAGGAGGAAGTCATAGGGCAGGACCTCTGAACTGCAGTGAAGACTTTGGCTCTTGCTCTGAGTGACTTGGGAGCCAAGGAAGATTCTGGGCAGAGAGACTTGATTTCACCCAGGTGTTCACCAGCTCCCTCGCTCCCTCTGGTGGCCATGGAAGGAATGGACTGGGGTGAAATAGGCAGAGGTAAGAGAGAAGGTCCAGGGTAGAGGGGAGGGAGGCTGGCTCAGGAGGTTGTGGACAGATTCTGGATAGCTTTTGGCCATGAGGCTGTTTTGAGGGGTGCAAAGGAAAGTAGACGATGCCACAGCCTTTGACCTTGGGGAGTCCTGAGCACAACAGTGGGGTCTGGTGCACATCAGAGCTCAGCAGCTGGGTTTGTTGTCGTTGTTATTGTTTTTGTGTTGCACATTTCATCGCTTCAAAATCTCAAACATTATCTCATGTCCATTAAATAAAAAAACAATGCTGGCTCCCTGCCCCCCCTCTTTTTTTTTTGAGTTGGAGTCTCACTTCATCACCAAGGCTGGGGTGCAGTGGCACACTCATGGCCACCCCAGCATCCACCTGCTGGGCTCTGGTGATCCTTCCGCCTCAGTTTTCCAAGTAGCCGAAACTACAGGTGTGTAATACCACGCCCGGCTATTTTTTTAAAATTTATTGTAAAGATGCGGTCTCGCCAAGTTGCCTGGGCTGTTCTCGAACTCGTGGACTCAGGCAGTCCCCTCACCTCGGCCTCCCAAAGTGTTGGGACCCTTTTTTCTTAATTGAGCCTCACTCTCACCCAGGCTGGAATGCAGTGGCATGATCAAGGCTCACTGCAGCCTTGACCTCCTGGGCTCCAGTGGTTCTCCCTTCTCAGTCTCCTGAGCAGCTGGGACTACAGATATATGCCCCCACACCCAGCTAATTTTTGTTGTTGATATTTTGTATTTTTTGTAGAGAAGAGGTCTCACTATGTTGCCCAGGCAAGTCTCAAACTCCTGGCCTCAGGTGATCCTCCTGCCTCCAGAGTGCTGGGATTACAGGTGTGAACCACCATGCCTGGCTGGGCATTACAAGAAAAAAAACCACTGTGCATCAGTCCAGTACCTTATGAAACCAACTCGGCTGGCCATGAGGGTGGGGAGGGGGAGGCCCTGGGCAGGGGGCTTGGTACCAGGAACAACTAATGGAGACAGAGAAAAGGGGACTTCCACAGGCGTTCCAGGCTGTGTGAGCTTTGATCACACCACTGCACTCCATCCTGGGCCACAGGGCAAGACCATATCTCTTATAAAGGTGGGGGCTCGGCCGGGTTTGGTGGCTCAGCCTGTAATCCCAGTACTTTGGGAGGCCGAGGTGAGTGGATTGCCCGAGCCCGCGGGTTCGAGATCCGCCTGGGTAACTTGACGAGACCTCATCTCTACAGTAAATAAAAAAAAAATTAGCTGGGCATGGTAGCACACGCCTGTAGTTCCAGCTACTTGGAAGGCTGAGGTGGAAGGATCGCTGGAGCCCAGCAGGT